TTTGGGGGGGGGGAGGGTCAAAGTTATTCACGCCGGTGTGTAGCTGCGGCCAAATAGCGGTGGAGCTAAGAAGTAACAGCGATGGAGGTTTACGGCCGATGCCAGATTCGTGGTAAATCTTTGATGATTTTGCGGCGAACGGTGCTGCCACGGCCAACCTATATTTGCCTTTTGTAATTCACGGAAGCGCATAATATCTTGCATTATCGCGTTAATTAGTCACCCTTTAATCCCCCTACACATTAATTTAGGGTATATATTTTATACCTAGGAAACGCGAAATGTAAGTTGTGGAATGTTCCGTTAATAATAATGGAAATTTAAAGAAGGTAATTTTGAATTTTATCGATATTCCAATATAATATTTTCTCCTAGGCAACTGAATATAATGCAAATGTAAGATATAAGATATATAGTGGAATATATATAATATTGAATGTTTTTCAGAAAAGCTAAAGAAGCTAAGAAAATTAAGGAAGTAATTATAATGCAAAGGATATTGAATAAAATTGATATAAGATACATTGGAATATGTGATATTTTGGATTATATAATATATCAGATATATTGGATAACATTTGTACTCCTAAATAGACTTTTACTGATTCATAATACACATTTCTCATTTAAATATTCTTTTTCTTTAAGTAATATTATTGAAATAAAATAAGTTTATATCAAATACTTAATAATGTTAACATCAAAGTACATCAAAGACTAAAAATTTAAAAAAAAAGGTTCAAAAGAAACGTGGAAATCAACTTTATGCTCGATCACAAAATATATCTTCCTCGAAGCAAAAATCTCTTTCTCTCTTTCCAGGAAAGTGTATTCAAGTATTCTCGAGGAATCTCGTATGATTTACGATAAGAGAGAGAGAGAGAGAGAGAGAGAGAGAGAGAGAGACAGACAGAGACAGAGACAGAGACAGAGTTGCCTATGAAACGGCGAGGAAAATTATTTTCGTATCCGTCCCACTTTCAAGAACCAGTCAACGATTTACACTCCTGATACGTCGATTCCGTGGCCCTTGTGCGACAATGTACAACATCCCTCCATTCCTTAAAAATGGAAGCAACGAAAATGCATTCCGCCTCGGCGGAATGCGCGCACGTTGCATAGGAAACGGAGACACTGATTTCTCCTTTATTTCTGCTTCGTGGTGATATGTCTCGACAGAAATATCCCTTGTATTCGTGAGCTTTGATATTCGTAGGTGGACGTATACGTATGTATCGTTTCGAATATCGAGATCTTTTTCTTTGTCAAGCAGTCGTGCATATCTTTTTTGAAGATCTTGAATTTGGTTTGGTTAGGTATATACAATTTCGAGTATATAAGATCTCTTTCTTTGGTAAGTAGTTGTACAAGACTCTCTTTTGTTGAAGATCTTGAGTTTGGTTAGATTAAATATGTATCATTTTTTTTTTTCCTTTTTCGTTTGTCTCTTTTTCATCAAGATTTTTAGGTTAGGTGAATTTCTTTCTTAAGGATTTTTTTTTTTCAGTTTCAGGAATTAATGTGAACATGTAATCGGACACTAATGTATTCTTATGATTACTGATATATTATTTATCCATTATGTGAATTTGAAGACAGAATAGACTCAACGTGATCCTTGCATGTCATAAAAGACAATTAAAAAAGAAGCCATTAATGAATACTTGACAAATTTATGGAATATGCAATTATGGTATGAATATTAATAATTTTATGCAAAAAGAACAGGAATTATAAAATATATAAATGAGACTTAAAAATAAATGATACAAACTTATCATATCTATCTTTAACGTCGCTCAACCAAAAATTCAAAATTCTATTTCTCGATGTTCTGAGAACGTGTGCATTCGGTTCTTCGATAAATCATTTTGATTTTTAGAATTCGGTCATCAAACACATCTCAACCTGTCAAGATAAATTTCCATACATCGACGATAATTCTCCCACCTATTCCCATATTCGTCGTTTCTCGCGGCATAGAAACAGAAAGGCCGCTTCATCATCGAGATTGAATTTTTATGTCGTGCAAATATTTCTGATATTGCGTTTTTCGAATAAACTCACGTGCTATTTTTTTTTTCATAGTTGGTCCGTCATTATTCGATAATGCACTCTCGAACGATAGATCGATATCTGTCAGGAATAAATAAGTTCGATATGGGTCTAGATGACGGAATTGTGTTGGATGTGCCATTGTTCGAGAATTTTATCGATTTTTCATTAGTTTGTGGTTGGTTATGATTAGAACGAGAATAGAATAGTATTGAGCTGCCTTTCTGAACTTCTGTCATTTTTTTTTGTGTGTGCGTGAAACTTCAAAATTTTTAAATTTTTCTTAAGAATTAAGAAGAAATATTATAAAGAAAAAAAATTGTACGAGATCAAACAATTTATTTTTAATTCAATTTACAGGTGTATCTGAACAAAGATTAATAAATAATTCAAAGTGTGGAAAAACGAAAGGTTCATCGATATCCCCGGCAATTGTGTCAGAATTCGACGATATACACGCGTTAGCAACAAAATGGCGACAAGCCGAACTGATTTTATTCACGACCTTTGTCGCGGAAGTACTTTAGATGCGGGTGGTGGGCCGCAGAGGAAAAATAGCGGAAAGTTTTCCATTTTAGATGGGCCACCGATAAAGGAAAGAGAGGCACGTATAATGGGACGTGTCTTCTCTACGATTCCACCTCAAGAACGATCTGCTTGCACTTCTATCTATAAAAATCATCCTCAAAAATCATCCTCATACATTCAAAATTATTCCATTATTTTTTTCTATTTATTTCAATTTTCTTTCTTTCCATAATGCAACAGAGAAAAGAATTAGATATAAATAATATATGATTGATAATTTAAAAATAGTTAAGAAAGATTAGAATACAAATTTCTGTAGAAAGATCAGAATACAATAATTGAGAGCAATGTTTCAATTATTATTGGCTTATTATTTGTGAAACGAATAGAGTAATTAGAATGGTTGATTAAGTTTTTAATAGATTTGATTGTTATTTGATTAGAGAAATATAGATAATATATAGCTACCTAATATAGTCACAATTGTGTATTCATTCTCTTTGTAGGAAATAATGTTGTATACATCTTCAAAAGGAGGAAAGCAGAATTAAATCATTAACATAATATTAGCTGTAAAACACTGCAGTTAGTTCCTGGCTTCCGTTATTATGAAGACACGTTTCAAAAGATAAATTCTATGGTTTAAACCACAGTGCGGATAAACTGAAATTAAATCAAGCTATTTTAATAATAAGTTTGACCTCCATAATTGAACACTTCTGTATGCATTAATTCATAATCAATAATTTTATTGGAAGCAAATAATAACGATCAATAAAAAAAAAATAATAAGTTCTGAAATTTTCAAAAGCTTTCATTTAACACATTATTTTTACAGATATCGTCCCTTGTTTATCGTTCAACTTTTATAAATAAAGTTTTTTCGTGTCTCCAAAAATAGCAGAGGCAATTAAGGTAAGCAAAGCTGTTAGTTCACCCTTTGTACATATATATATATATATACGCCTTTCCTAAAATCTCTTTTTAGCGGATTATCGTCGAGCACTGTACTGTGCGCACAAAACTGTGTTATACTGAGAGAAGTTTCCTGTATAAATGCGTCGCTGGAAACCTCGTTAATAGACACATTCGCAGAAATGCGTTGTATCATTAAAGCAATTATCTTATATTGCTAATCCTATTATCACCGTACTATTCCCAATGTATGCGAAGATATTTCCAAATTGCGACGATCATCCTTATATTGCTTGAAAATTTTCGCAAAAATGAATTTTAAATTTCGATTATAAATTTTAAAATATTGAAAAAGTTAGAGATATGTATGAAACACTTTATCATCCTCAATGTATTAATTTTTCTCTTGTCGATAGAATCTAACCTCAAGAATCTAACCTCAAAGATACCTCAAAGCGACTGATTTAAAAATACATTTCATTAATTTACAAATAAAAATTGTTAAATCTTTATTAAAGAATAATCAAAAACATAATGCAAAATATAATTCAAAATTGAATTAACAAAATTCTTCTCTTAACATCTCTGAAAATCTAACTTCAAAAGCCACAAAATCTCAAAGGACTCTTTTCAAGATTCGACATATATGTACAAAGCATTTTTTCTCGACTGATATTTTTATTGACTTGTTCTTTCAATACGATAACCTTATCGTACCCAGTTTTCTTTCAGCTCTCATATGTTTCCACGTAAAACGTCCCACGTTCGAGGGTCTATAGTCTTCGAAGAATTATTTACGAGGATGCAGTGAACGAGGACGTAATAAACATCGAAGCCGATTACGGAACAGAAGTCGAAGGCGTGCCAATGGATGACGTTTCCTAGTCGAAACAATGGAACTGTTTCGTGGAAGGCTGTACCTGGAAGATTAGCGGAAAGAGGGTGTCGATGAAATTGGTCAGTCGAGTAGAACATTTCCTGAGATGATTTTCCATGAGAATTATGGGTACGGTTTCCATGGAATAATTAATTTTTATGAAAAAATTAGATATTTTAGAATATTGTAATTGTGATTTTGAATCAATTTTTTTTTAATAATTTTTAATATTCTAGAATTGAACTGTATTATAATTTTAATGGAATGAATTTTCACAAGAATTTTCAATATTTTGTAATATTAAAATATCCATCTATTCAATATTCACACAAAACCAAATAATATATTCCAATACCCATACAATCTTTCTATTTCTAGAAATTTCCAATATTTAAATTTATAAATGCATGCATCCATCCATCTAGCACAGTACAATACTTCTTCAAAAATCTTAATTTCCCTATGTTTAGTTACGAAATCTTTTTACCGACTATCGGTAACCGATCAACAAGAAAAATATCTTCGCCATTAAAGAGTTAGACATGAATCGTGACTCTCGTAACTCTTTGAGCATAAGTTTTTCACGATCGTGAAACGAAAGTAAATATCATGTATATTTACGATCGTAGCACGAGAGAAGAAAGAGATATATGTATATTTTATACAACATATTGATATTCCGGAACGACACAGATCTACGTGAACGAATTGGGAGCTGATTGTTGATTCTTTTTTTTGTACGTATTTCACTATATTCCTTCGTCAACAATTTACGATTAGATGCTAATATTCTGTTTGAATGTCTATTCAAATGTGTTTTCTTCTAAGGAAGGAAAGGATTTATATGAAGTTATGAATATATAAATAAGGTGAGTAATAAAAAATATATTAAGAAAAAATCCTAATAATTAATATTTTTATAATTGTAAATATTTTTTGTTTTATAATTTTGTTTAATAATTTTTTGTTTCGGTCAAAATAAGTTGTTGTTTAAAGAATTCTGTTTAAATATCTATTTAAATAATATTCTTTTCTTAATTGATATTCTTTATGGGGAAAGAATTTTATACAGTCACGAAAATATATAAATAGGGTGAGTAATAAAAAATACATTAAATAGAAGACAAATTAAAATCATAAATTAATATTCTTAAAATTGTAAGGTAACGAATTAAATTTCGTTTCAATTAAAACTAATGAGTTATCGTTTAAAAAATTGATTTGCCATAAAAGAAAATGAATTATTTTGTCATTTTCTCCTATTATAAAAAGTATGTATATTTCTTTTTTTTCTAAATAAGCTTGACGTACGTATACATTTCTTCACATAATTTTTCAATTAGAAATTAACAATATTATTGCCTTTTTATTAATGACGTGCTATGATCCTCAGCTCGTTAAAATCAGCAATTAAAATCCAAATCGTCGAAAATGGGAAAAGCGAAAAGAAACTCGATTTTCCTTGAATCGAAGGAAGGCAGAATCTGGACTAATTCGATCCTCCAATTTTTAAGAGTCAAGGGATAAATTACTTTCCTTTCCTCGTCAAATTGCCACGATCATTTCGGATTACAACGATTAATCGATGTTGGCGCGTATCCGCGGCTCGATGCAGTCGCGAAGGTCTGATCGTCGTTTCCTGAAAACGCTGCCTAATGCTCATCGATTAATCACCGATAATGGAGCGAACCAACTAATTGCTCGCAGCGCCACCCTCTATTTCTCTTTGCGTTCGATCGTTAGTACACGTAAAAAGAGAAAGAAATTAGTCGAATCTCATCTTCGAGTTCGATAAGTCTGAGATTATCGAATCGTGTTCATTATTTTTTTTCATAATTAGATCCAATTTCCTTGTACTATATAATTTTCTCGATTTTTTTTTGTTCTTCGATCATGTTGGGAAAATTGTTAGTTCATGATCAAATAAAAATTTTGAGGTTAATGTATATTGTGTTATCAAATGTAACACAACAGAATTTATGTATTGGAATTGGAACATGTTGATTATCCAGAAAATAAATTGAATTTGTGAAGGCGTGTACAAGTTTCGACAAAAATTCTGAAAAATTGGAATCCTATAGGAGATGGAAATAAATCAGTTAAGTGGGCAAAAAGTTAAGTATTGTTATTCCTTTATCCTTTCGAAACTAATAGGATGATACATTCCAAGTAAGTTTTGCAAGTATAATAGGATTGTTAAAATTTTCCTAATATGATACAAAGTGTATTAGGCCATAATTTAATTATAAATAGAATTACAATGGAATAACATATAGCATCATATTTAGTTACAGTCTGGGATTATACTTGTATAAATCAGAAGAAAAATTAAAAAATTGTCTATTTTTGAATTGCTGTAATTATGAAGAAATTATTAATTTTATTTTAATAATATTTTACAATAAAAAATGATATCTAAAAAGTCGATTCATAATGGATTAAAAAAAATTCTTTTCAAAAATATCTGAAGTTCGATCAATACACTATCAAAATTCTGATCTTAATGAGCAATTAACAATTTCGTTAAGCACAGTTGCACGACTAATTCCAACAACGTAACAAGCTCACTCGATGTCCCTTAATACCTCCAATTCATCGTTCGAATGGCGAATTGCCAAGGGATGCTGTTCCACTAACATCTCCGATCTTCCGTTATATCACGCTCAAAGCTTATTTTCGCTATTTCATTTGAGATAAAAAGTGTATGGAGAATAATTATGTTGGAACGAAATTATAAGATCGCGATGGTGAATTTTTGAAACGAAGGAAATTCAATAGAATCATTGTGTTGAGAAAATATTTGAGGATGCTTTTTAATTAAAAGCTTCGACTTCGTAGTTCTCTCTTCTTTATTGATCAAATATTTGCGAATGTTGGCGTCTGATAACTTCTGACTAATAACTTGCTTAATCGTGACGAAAATCGAACGAAATAGAATTTCGAGTGGATTATAAATTAAAAAATTTTGTTAATCCTTACTTATATTCAATATTTAAAAATTTTTCTTCTGTTGGAAAATTTTTTAAATTCGAAATAAGAAGATTAATTAAGATTATTCATATACTTGATCAATTTTAAAATAAAAAAAGATATGATAATTAGAGAAGAATCATTCCTATATCTGATTACTAAAGTTTACAATGAATGGACTGGTAATCAGTTTAACTTTTGAAATTTGTCAATTATATAACAACTTAATAAATGAAACATGTTCTTTGCTTACCAAATTCCAAGGTAATTAAGTTGTTATTGATGAGTACTCACCTGGAACAAAAAAAAGAGAGACAAATATAAGTC